ATTAGTGAGATTTAACAGTTTCATATCTTTTAAACGTCTGTAATTTGTTTGTGAAAGCTGTGTACTTTTCTGTTGTTTTCATTAACTCAATTTATAAGGACTTAAAGTTCTAAAGAGATTATCTCTTGTCTTTACCTTCTCATTACTACTCCCTATAAGTAACCGTTGAATCATTATTGATGTTCTATTGTATAGCCATTTAGCTCTTTTCCTATGTACAAATTTAATATTTATTTAAAATTATATATTTGTTAACAGTAAAATGTTTAAATATATATATATATATATATATATATATATACATATATATTACTTAAAAGGTATGCATTATAGATAGGATACATTATTATGTATAAAATAATGTGTAATCTACTATACACTGCTTGCTTATTTTACACAGCAGTAAAAAATGTCAGTAAGGTATTTTTAAAGGCTGAAATAGGTTTCATTACTTCATTGAAGGTCTATTACATTTTCTCTCACCTTTCCACTCCTAAAATGCAGTGAAAATTTAGGGCATGAATGTGGGACAAAGTACAAGAGCTGGAATTACCTCCTTTCCCCTAAGTCACATGAAAATTGTGGTGGAAACCACCTTAACAATTGTTCTAACATTATCAGCCCTTAATATGTTTGCCAACATCATCAATCTCAAATATTATCATTACAATATTGGAATCTCTTTAATTTCTAACTCCGTGAGCCCTTGTGAATTTAAGTGAATTGCCATGTATTTACCAGACATTTGGTTTTCTTCTGTGAGTTTCCTTTATATGCCCTTCGCTCCTTTCTGACCTCCCTGTGGAACTGTTTTCCTCTTATTTCAAGGAGCTCTACGGATAGGAGGAATATTAACTAACATGTGTGTCAAACCTTTTCTCCCAAGAACCTCTAAAAGGCATCTGATGCTTGTAAAGTTCCCCCCCCCCTCCTATCTGCCCCTCCCTTTATTATATTCTTTCGGGTTGACCTTTTGGCTAACCTGTTTCCTGCTTTATTTGTTTCACTACTAAACTAGAAGAGAGTCAGGGATATGGAATTAAATATTTGAACAGGGCTTATGACAACTTTAGCTTAGTTAGAAAGGATATGAAAATGCTTCACTTCGTGTGTGTGGAGGATTTTGTGGGTGTTTCCTGTCTATTACAATTTTTCATGAAGTGACTTTTCCTTCAAAACCATGAATAATGACTGAATATATATCCCAGCCAAAACATAGAGCTGGCGGACATACTGGCTGATGAAATGTAAAAAATGCAATTTGTGGTTCTGATGCCCCGATGATCATATATTTTAGGAGTCAAATGTATGATCAGTTACCAAATATTTGAAATATATATATGATACTCCAAGGTAGAATGTTTTCTTCAAGCAGATGTTGTGCTAATCTATTTTTTTTCATAATATAAAAACAAACAAAAAAGCATGAGGAGTATTCACTAATTCACATGGAAAGGACTGGGACTGAAAGATAGGTCAAAGTAATATTATCTTGGGGACAGAAGAACAGTCTGGAAATGCTATTCATTTCAGGAGCCGTTTGGATTACTAGCTCTTGCAGGTGTATAGAGCAGGGAGGAACAAATGTTTAATGAAACTTTAAAAAACAATACATTTCTACGTTCCTATGTTAATTCCCCCAATCTTCCCCAAATAAATAATTACTGTCCTCTTGCTCCTCCTGGCTTGTGTTTCCTTAATGTTTCTATTTTATTCTGACCACATTGAGAGTCTTTATTTGTTGCTAAACTAACTTCAATATAATAGACTATATTTTATGGCATGGCTATATTCACTGATAACCATTGAAAAGCTTGCTTGAGGTCATAAGTTGAAATTTTCCTTTTTTTCCCAAACATCCTATGAGAAAAATTTTACAAGTATATGTAATTAAATCTATTCATAAAATTACATTATGGAGAATAAAGATGGGCTATCATTGTTTATTTAGGGAACATATTACTTAGTACTTTATAATATTTTTAAAAATACTTGCATCCAAAGATAATTGTTACATTTTCATTGGCAACTACTGTTTTCTGGAAAACCATACATGGCCATGTACTTCTTTGCTTTGTTTGTTCTTAAATAATCTGAGAAAAAAGATTTTTATATTAGCTGAATATTGAGTTTTAATATTAGGTGTGGGAGATTCTATTGCTTTAAACTTTCATTTTATATCTTTAATGCCTCTTGCTCTTGGCAAATTATAATTCAGGAAAGCAGAAAAATCTAGTATGCAAAATCTAGTATTTGTCAGCCAAGATAATCAGCATTTATGCACACTGAAAATTTTCAATATTTATGAAGAATTTTAAAATGTATAAAATATGATAGGACTATTTACAAATTAAGATCTAGTGCCTCTACATTTTTCCACAGGGTTGATTTTTATCTTGTTTTTTACATATAAGGATATAGTAGTATACTTTAAAAAGAGCTTACATTATAATGAACAAAATAGTCTTGTCATATAGAATGAGACAGTATTATCATGTATTGGAAATTTAGGCAACAATTCTAGATCTATTTTGTCATAGTAAATATATATTTCCCTTCACCTTTTCTTTACATGGGTGACCTGTTTCTGTTTTCTGGGCTAGGCCTCCAATGAAGGCAAGCAAGACTAGGCTTAGTCTGTTGTCTCAATAAAATACTGGTAACACTGGTGGTCATAGGCATTCTCTAGTGGTCCTTAGTATGCTCCTCTTAGCAATGATTATACTGTACTTTTGGGCACAAGTGACTAATTACTGGAATTTAATAATTATAAAAAGATGTCATAATGTTATAGTACAATAAGAGTTAGTATTTCTGCTAACTCTAATTTAGGCTCATTTCCTTTATTTAAAAAATAAAAAAACATTTACTTGGAAATGGTAAGAGAAAACAGAAGTGGTTGTTTTGTAGCGTTTCATGAACTAAAATTTGGAAAACTTTACTAATATTTCTTGTTCTGTCAACATATGCTCTTCAGGAATACTAATGGATTACAAATTGAACTAATAGAACAATTCAAGTTCATTCATTGTTTTTGTACAAAGAGGGTTTCATTTCAAGACAAATTCACACTCTGGCAAGTTACAGATTGAAATAGGATAATCTTGGCGACAGATTACATATGACTAGTTTATAGTGGCTGATTTAACATTTGACATGGAAATTACCCCTGTATATATTATAGGCTTTGGTGTGGGGTAGCAGGGAGATGTGGCAGATGCATGTGTAAAAACTCTATTTTAAATGCATGGTCTTGTATGGTTTAATTCTGAGTGTATTCTAAGTATGTCCAGACAAGAGATTTTAACTGTAAGCATAATTTCATTTACCCTAAATGTAAAAACAAAGCCAACCAGGGCCACTTAGGGAAGAGAGGATCCTCAAGGACCTATTTAGACAGTTGCTTCTAGAGAGAGAGAAAAAATGTTCAGTCAAAGACTTGTCAATCCTAATTTTAAAGATTGATTAGGTAGCTGATTTTTTTCTTCCTTCTGTCCTTGGAGAAAATGAAAAATAACAGGTCCCCTTCCACTTTACACTAACCATTCATATACTTTATGACAGTTAGCTTTCCCTTGAGTCTTCTCTTCTCCAGGAAAAATTATGCTAACTCCTTCAGTCTGTCCTCATAGGTCCTATTTTTCAACCATTAAATCATTGTATGGTTCTCCCTGTACCTTTCCCAGTTTCTTCAAAATCCCTTTAAAAATATAAAGTCTTAAGTTTTACATCTCCGCCTATATTAGATAGATTAGAATGCCAGAGGAATATTTCTTTCTACATTCTACGTCGAAGAGATGGTTACTATGACACAGGTCAGTTGGATGATAGGGAAAAGGAGAAAAAGAGAAGCCAGGTGAGCAGTTTAATATTCAACTCATTGGCTTTATGTGATCAGAAAGCGTAAAAACTGGGCCTGATAAAATTTCATAGGATTCTTCGTAAGCCCTTTTCAAAGATACTAAAACGTAAAATTACTATAAAACCCATCAGGCTGCTTTTGAGTTTTCTTTAACTAAATAACCTGATACTCCTCTTTAATAATTATAATTCTTCAAAGTAAAACATTAGTATGTGAACTAACATCATGCCAAATTCAGGTCCCCAAAAATGTGTAATGGAGGATGATGAGCCCTGCTAACTCAAGAGAGGGCACGGGGATTCAACGTTAGAGTGACCTCACCTTAATTAAGAGCTAGAACCACTTTTTCAAGTAGATATTAATGCCAAGAGGGGACATTGGTGGAGTGTTACCCAGCAAAGGTTTATTATTGGGTAGTACGTGACCAGTAAGAAGAGCATGATATTGGCTTAGCTGACATGCTGTTCCGGGTTCATGGCCTGGCATTTTCTTCTCTGCAGCATCACCTTGATTTTGGGTAATGCTGTAGTAATTTCTACCTTTCCATTGCATGGGGGCCAAAAAGATCTTATAAACCAAGTTCCCCTCTTTAACAATTACTATGAGAGCAAGATTCCATGGTAATAAAATCCTAGAATAAAAGCCCTAGAGTTTCTAGTGTTTTCTTACTTCAACTTAGGTGCATTAATAATTGAATTCTGTATTTATTTGATAATGCTAAACCTAAAGTCTTATCTATACCAAAAGCAAAATACCTGGCATTTATCCTCTCTACCCTGGGTTATGCACTATGAACTAGGTAAACTGCTTCATAGCCTCCACGAGAGAGAAATTCAGTCACTACGGAAAGATGATACTTATCCTTTCCAATACCCTCCTTATCAATCAACAATAAATAGTAGGCATCACAACAAAGTTGGCGTATAAAAGCTTTAGTTCCCCCAGTTGAATGCTTCATGATTCACCCGTTGCTGGTTTATTTTCACTTTAGGGTGGGATAAAAATATAAATTGGCCAGGCCCATGTTGAAAAGCCACAGGCCGACCTGAGAGGGCTCTTGCATTGAATGGTGTGCAGAGGTGCAATGTTTGTATTTGGCACTAACCCCTCTTTGGAAGCTAATGCAGTATGGTCTTACCATTTTTGCAGACAGGACAACATTGCTCTGGTTCATAGACTGGGTTGACACACTCAGGAACTGCGCAGTCTGCTACAACACAGTGAACTTCATTGCTGGGCTCACAGCGACACCATTCACATGGAGAGGGCTAGGAACAAATCTAAAATTAGCCCCTTTTCTCCTATAACTTAATGCTTGCACATTCATATGCTGTCAGCAGACAAAACATTAGTGTTTATATTGGCTTTACTGTATTAACTCCATTACCATGTGTCTGATCATTCTTCCCCAATGGAAGGCAACCTAGACGTCCAAGCCACGGTAGGTTGTCATGTGCATCTTAGGTTGCCAGGAGCAACTGGGCATTCATGTATGACTTTCCTGCCTGTGCTCCTACTTCCCAAAGACCATTTTGGACAACTAATATGTCACCTCCTGGTTTTGTTTCCAGATGTGCTGATTGCTCTGCCTTCCTCTCATAAAGAGGAATGAGACTGGGACATGTGAAGTAAGTTTTTGCCATTCATCATTTTTCTTCCTAAAAAAAATTACCGAGAAACAAGAACATGGTAAATGGACATTCTTACCTTTTTTATGAACTCTTTTGTTCCCAGCTAACCTAGACACTAAATGACTTTTTTTTTCCCCATGTGAATTTTAGAGGAGATTGCATTTGGAATGCAAACATCCAGGCACTGCCTGTTGGAAGATTTAGTGAATACCTCGCATCTTGCCTGCTTACTTTTATGAATGAACTAAAATCCATTGGCTTAAAAAAACCACTCTTATAAAGCCACTTTTTAAGAGTCAACGACTCTAAAAATAGAGCTGAAAAATGATTCATGTAGGGGGAAAATAAATTGATTGTAAATTGTAATTGAAAAAGAAAACTAAATCAGAAAGCTATTTTTGTCTTCAAAGTACTTACCGATCGAGAGTGAGTTTGGGGTTTTGCTGCCTTTTAGAAACTGCTTATGCCACAGATAATCTTAAGCAGTGGCCCCTCTATGACTTTCATATTCTTTACAGGTTCTAGCTCTCCTTTCTCATGAAACAGAGGTTCCGAATTCTGGGATGACAACTTGGAGGTCTTAGAAGTTATGCAGGTCTATGTATCTCAAATCAAGCCATTCGTTTCCAGATAATTCTGCCTCCATCTCTAGGCCCCAGTCTCTCCCTTCCAGACTATGTTAGTTAAAGCCCTCTGCCTTTGTCTCAGTGGCTAGTGCCCATGCCATTGCCTGCTCTTATTTCTTCTGGAACTTGAAAATTTGGGTAATATCAGTGCTCCTGGACTCAGGTAGCCTGGGGGATGGGGGTGGTTGTGGAAATCTTTCAACTAATTATTTTAAAAGTAAATTTATATTTGCTTTCTGCTTGAAGAATTATTTTAATTTCAAACTTAGTAGGAACAAGAGAAGTATACACAGAATCTGTGGGAAAGCATTGCTATTTCTTAACATGGTGATAAGTTTGTTAAAGGGCAGAGTTAAGGGCTTCACCAGGTGGTGAGTTGTGTTAGGCATTTCAGGAGAATTTACCGGATTGTCCCTAAAGCTGGGATATTCCTGAAGCTTCTCCACTGAATAATCTCAGTATATGAAGGAAAAACTTTGAAACTACAGAACACTATCTGATGGAGGAGATGTTTAATGAGGAAACAGTGAGAAAGATGGACAGTCTTGCTGCTATACTGTTCCTTTATGATATCTTACCTTCCCACGCAAAATTGCCAGGTGGCTCCCTTTCCTTGATTAACTGCAAAGTAGTGGCTGTGCACAGCCTTCTTAAAGCACAGAAGGACTTGGCCCTCATTTCTTGCTAATATGAGAGAAAAAGGAGCCACCGGTATCATCGCTTCCATACCCTGTGCTTCTTCAGCTGTGATCCTTTCTTCTTGCTGAAGGAGGGGCTGATTGTGTGACTCCAATGGACTGATTCTGGCATTAAAAGCCTCAAAGACCCCCTCCATGTTCCCATGCAAAACGTTTCCCTCAAAGTAACTGTGATCTTTGAGAAAGATCTGTTGGACGACTAGATTCCCAATGAAGACTGATGAAGGTTACCATCCTAATTCAAACAAGAGCAAGAATGCTATTCTGTGCACTCCCCTCTGAGGAGTTTATTTTTCAGTGATTTGTACATTCTTCATGCATCCAGATCCTCAGGAATAACCATTACCAACTAAATAATTGATTTATACAGTGTAGATATTTCCTGCTAAGAAGGAGATTTCACTAACTAGGGTGGTAAGTACAGAAAGAGATTATTATGGAGCTGCAGATGTGAGTTAGTAGAAAGTTGTAGTAGGCTGAGGTTAGGTTGCCACGTGGCTCACGTTCCTGGAGCTTGGCATTTTCAAGCCTTGGAGGCTGGTAGCTACCCTGGTATTTGGGTAAAGCACTGACAGATACTGGTCCTGCAAAGGCCCTGGGGCGTCTGCCTGACATTGGTGGAGGCTGGATGTGTGTGGACTGGAATCCTGAGAAACATTCTGTATAAGAGCTAAGGCCATAAGGCTTCCTGGCTAATGTATGCCTGCTTTTCTTCCTTCCTTCCTCCTTTCCTTCCTTCCTTCCTTCCTTCCTTCCTTCCTTCCTTCCTTCCTTCCTTCCTTCCTATGCCTGTTTTTTAAGGGATTTGGAGTAATAAGAAACATAAATTAGAAAAACAAAAATGTCACCCTAGCTATTGGAAGATACTACATTTTCCTGAAACTGGTTTTATTCATATACCACATTCATTTGTCCCTTCTTGGCCCAGAATCTCTTGTCTGAAACAAGTTATTTCCACTTTTCTTTTTATTCAGTCTTTTGTTTTCAAATAATGTCTGTTTCAGTCTTATTTCTTCTCATTTTAAGCCTCTTGGGCCCCTCTCCTTCCCCTCTTAACCGTCCATCAAGTTTAACCCATTGGCCTCCCTCCGCAGCCCCTCTGCCTCTTGCCATCCTCTTTCACATGCTCTCCAGTTCAGACACCCTCTTTCCTTGCCCAGTGTGACTTCCTTCACTGCCCTGAAAACACATTGCTTAAACATTGAGAAGTTTCCTAGGAGTGAGCAATGAGTTACTTGGACAATAATTTCAGACTTTAAAAATCCTTCCTACCGAAGAACATACAGCTGTGAGAGGTTTGGTGCTTTGAATAAATCTTTACATCTTAAGCACTGAGCTGGGTACAGATCTCCCTCTATCAGACTCTTCAATATGAAAACTATAGATTAAATCTGAAAACATCCCGGTAAAACCAAAGATTAAACAATAAAGTTATCCTTAGCGGAACAGAGGACACTGAAATAAGTACTTGGGGAAAATTACTCCTACTAGCTTTTTGCAGAGAAACATGTGAATTATGTCTGCTACATGGCTTTAACAGCCAGAGATTTGGGAAGATGATTAAATGACACCATCCTAAAATTTTATACCAGGAAAATCTATTCCTAGAAATGTCAAGGAATATTTTACTTCTACGAAAGGTTTGAAACATAAAGTAACATTCACTATATATACCTTATGCGCCTTTACAGAAATCTTAATTGAAATTAGGTTTCAAGGTCAAATTAATTTGTTACTGAATATATTCGATGATCTGAGTATATGACTGTTATGAATCCCTATACCTCCAGCTTAGTGTTTTGAATATCAAATATGGGACCCTTTTTAAGCGGAAACCTGGCATTTTATCTATAGTTTCTGCTATCACTGAATACATTTGCATGGCAAATCCAAACGTTGCCCCAGTGCCCCCAAATTTCAAATGGCTTTTCTGATATATATTTATAATTAATAGAGTAAAAGGAGACTCTTAAATATTGGCTTAGGTGACTAGAATTCCAATGTTCCTTCTTGGTATTAGAATGGAAACATCGCAATATACATTGTTTTCAAAGTGGTTAACTTCTCAAGATCTTGATGCTGAAATCCATTGTCCCTGTCTGTGATTTTTGAGGATTCTTAGAGAATTGGAGGAGATGTACCAGAATTTTGGAAACAGTAGATTGCTCCATGATGCTTTAAAGTGGAAAACATATAATGAGAACCAGTAACTTAATGACTGGAATAATTGGTAACTCCTGAAAAATTGTCAAATATATTCTTTGTGAGAATTTGGAAGCTAACACCAGATTATTAGAACATGCTATTATAGACTTGTTACACAGAGTTCTCCTAATGTTTATAAAAAATGTACATTTATTTTGTATCCATACCTATGGAAAGCCTGGATGTTTGGTCCATACATCAGTACCTCATGGCATCATTATTAATGTGGTGACTGCTACTGGCATTGTTCATAGAGTGCCAGGAGAATATGGTAACAGCCTATAAGATTTTTTATATGAATTCAAACCTCAGAGTGACAAGGATCATAGTAGTATTCAGTTTTCTATTTTAATTTGGTGAAGTTTAAGATAACAATGTTCATACAAGTTGAAGAACTCTAAATTAGAAAAAAAATAGAAAATAATATTTCACTTAGTTGGCTTTGTTTGGGTGGTATGGTAGCATGGTTAAAAGCAAGTTCCTTATAACCATGCTACTTGAATTCTAGTCTTAAATGCTTTACTTACTAGCTGGGAATCTTTGGAAAATTATATAACCTCGATGTGCCTTAGTTTCTTAATCTACAAAATGGGAATAACAGCATTACCAACTTCACAGCTACTGTGAAGCACATAAAAATATATAAAATATTATAACTATCATCATCATAATCATTACATACTTAGTGAGAGTTTTTTGAAAAAAAAATCAAAAAGTATACAATTGGAAGCATAAGACTGTTTAAAAGAATATTTAGCTTATTTCTCTTATTAAAGTGTAATCTGGTTGTAGAGGTGGTTGTGATAAAGTGTTTTTTAAAAATATATTTTTATTGATTTCAGAGAGGAAGGGAGAGGGAGAGAGAGATAGAAATATCAATGATGCAAGAGAACCATTGGTTGGCTGCCTTCTGCACAACCCCCATGGGGGATAGAGTCTGCAACCCGGGCATGTGGCCTGACAGGGAATCAAACCGTGACTTGCTGGTTCATAGGTCGATGCTCAACCAGTGAGCCACACTGGCCGAGCAGTTGTGATAAAGTTTTATAGGACTTGGTTTGGTGGTGATGGTGGAGGAGGGTGGTTGTGAACTAAAAGAATTCATCAT